TTAGTTTCTTTCTAGGTGATCCTCACTGCCTTTAAGTTCTGTAATTTCTGTAAATGTGCGTAAATCTTTTGTAGGCACGGATGTCTTTCTCACCCATATGTGAAATCGATACGTAGTTCTAAGCATCCCTTGTCCATTTGTGAATCATGCAACCTGAAATGCAAGCTGCCACTATACAGTTGTAATTGGGAGAACAGTTCATCATCTCATGCTTCATTGTGTGTAAAACTGCTTTGAAAGTCCTTAGTCGGGGCTGCTGCTAAAATCCCTAGTTGCAGAATTTCAAAGTCCTTTTTTTCTTTTTTTTTTAACCAAAGAGAAGCAAATGTTTTTGTTTTCCTTCAAATTCCTACTAGAGGCTAGTGAAGCAAAGTGCTTCAAAACTGACATATGTTCCACACGGTAAGTCTGGTGGATAATTAATAGAGGACTGAAAAAAGGCAACTTCCACTCCATAGGTATCTAATGAAGGTTCTGCTCTTCTCCCTCAAATCTTGATGCATAATACAAATGAAAGCCCTGTCTATCAGTGTGAATTGATAGTGTGAATGCTTCATTGAAGAATGGTTTTTGAGTAGGAAGAGTCATGTCTGTCTTGAAAATGATGCTCATAGACAGTATCGTAAGCAGCTGTAGCTGAAGATGTAACTAAATAGGTGCTGCACAGCAGCATTATGATGTTTAACAGTAGAGATATGGGTTTAGTACCTAGAGCTACCACCTATCTAGAGTACCTAGAGCTACTAGAGAGGGTGGAGTCTCGTGGCGCGAGACACCACAGAGTCCCCTTCAGTCTGGGCATGGGGTGAGATGTAAGTCAGGAAGACCACAAATAAACTGATTTTGCAGGATAGTTTAAGGAAGTCATTGTGGCTAGCTTCATGAGAACCAGTGGAAGCCTAAGAGCAGCTGACTGTGAGCAAAGTTGGGGGAAGTGGTATAAAAGTTCAAAGCTCATATAATTTGAATGTCTGTGACGTTTATACATCTTTGTTTGTGTCATGGTTAATACAAGATCAAGTGTATTAACCAAATACACTTCATTCTGTCTTTTATGCTCTGTTTTATTCTCATTGTATGCTTAGAAGTCCTACTTGGACTGTCTGTTCTCAGCATAACACTGTCAAATTTCTGTTAAGCTTAAGGTGAAAAATTAATGAGCCATTCACTTCAGATATTTCAAAACTAATGCTGCTATATTATTAATGCAGCAGAAAGTCAAAGCTGGTATGTACGATTATGGTTCAGTGTTCAGTCAGACTTTACTTTTCCGTAGTTTGTGGGGAGCATCATTAAAAGAGTGTTTCAGGTCATAGAAGGAATTATCTTAATGAATTTAACTTTTTGGACAGTTTTGTTCATAAACTTTCTGTTTTATCAGATCTGGGTGAACATGGCTATTAAATATAAATATTGTTATCTGACTCTTACACATAACAGATTCTCATTTTTCTCTGAATCTGGAATTTAAATAAAAATTAACAGAAAGTTAGTTCTTATAGCACAAACCTTTTAGAGAAAAATAAAGTCTAATTGCATAACACTGAAGAAGCTGTGCCTAAAGCAGTATTCTTTTGACTAGAGAAGTATGACATGGTGACTAACTCTCTTCTGTTCTATATGCTTTGATTTTTCAGCCTTGACAAAAGTCACTGAAACAACAGTAAAGTTGGACTTCAACTCAGAAATGAATGGCATGTGCTACATAAGTATTACTGCTAAATTCTCCCAGGAAAACTTTTCAGAAATCCCATTTTACTCAATTACCAGTTGGTAACTGGTTACTAATACCAGTAAGTTAAGTCGTAGAACACTGTGAAATGCTTGGTTACAAGCAGACTGAGCAGTATGGAAACTGATGCTTAATGTTTGTTGTTACATTGAAAAAGAAAACACAAAACACAGTCACTGCAGAAGTAGAAATGTAGTCATGTCTGTGCAGAAACTTTCTAAAGATTGCCTCTTTCTGTGCTACTAAAATTAACTTAGTAATTGATTGGCATATTTTTCTTTTTACGTTCCAGGGTATTCTCTAGGGTCTCTTAAATCAATAGCAGTTTTAGGCCTGGCACAGTTAGATCATTAGACTTCCATAGACAAAGGCCTGGCACAGTTATATTATTAGACTTCCACAGACAAAGGAATTCTTTTTCTTAGAAGATTTTCATTCTATAAAACTAAATTTCATTGCAAACAAAATGTCATATTTAAATTATTCTCTTGCTTGCAGATCCTGAAAGCACTATGTGCTCCAAGGAGTTTTTTCAACTAGCAGGGAAAGACCAAGCAGGAATCTCGCAAAGTTCTTCCAGTACATTGGTTTCTTTATGATGTTGCACTTCACTGCTTTGCACTTGGTACAGCACCAAGCCCATGAGTGGTTTTTAAAAGCTAATGAATGATTTTGCTTCAACTGGTAGCCCTGGAAGTCTCCAGTTTTTTCAGTCTATATTGTGTTTTACTGGAGAGATTAGTCTTGCGTCTTTCCTTTTTGAATCCTGATCATGATGTATATAGCTTTACTCAGCTTCTTAAACAATGTACTCTTACGGCAACTAATTAATTTCTGGAAAGGAACTCTTTTTTTTTGTCCTCCTTTTTTTTTTTTTTTTCCCCTTCACCAGGCATCTTTTTAATATGAAGTCCAGTTCAGTTACTAGAGAATTATATAAGTCAGGCCTGAAAAAGATGTCAAGAAGTTATCTAATCCAGCACCTTCCCTCAGGGAAGGAATCAACCATAACTACATCATTGCTGACAGATGTTTGTTTAATATTTTCTTAAAAAAAAAACAGTTGTAGATATTTTACCACCTGCCTATGCATTTCTTTGTTAATTCCTTCTCTTAGACAGTTTTCTTCCAAATAACTTTAAATTTCCATTTCTATATTTTAAATATTTGGGGGGGGGGGGGGGTTTTGTTGCATACACTCCATCTTATATTGTGATTAATTTTTAAACATGGGAGATTTTCTCTGGTAAATTTTTCTTGAAAGTGTACTTTTTACAGTTTATTCAGGTCTGAAGTTCAAGTTGTGGGTAAATGGAGAAAGGAGAGATGGTTTTTATCTACAACAGTTTGAGATTCATCACTCCTGTGATGGAGTCTGCAGATTGACAAGCAATGTACAGAAAATAATGTCTGCTACACATGTCTGATGGACATTTTAGAATTCCTTTTGATTCCAGAAACAGACTCTCAAAGCTTGAGGAAGATGATTTTACCATCAATTTAATCAAATAACAACATTGAGGGATTTGCAACCCTGCCCAACTTCAATCAGACAAAACTTTCTAAATTATGTTTTGAGCAAGTTTCACCTTTCAACTTTGTCTAATTTGTCTAATTCTCTCAAACTGAGCACTGATAATATTTCCACTGCGTTTAAAAGCTGAACAACACTTTTTCTATAATTAAATGGCATAGCCTTGGTTGGTTTCTGCATTATGAGTAAGGGCATAGTGTAAGAAGTCTCAGGCAATACCAGGACAAAAATAAGAAAAAAGATATGTGTGCATTTTTTTAATATTGTGATTAAGTAACATTTCTGATAGTAATTTTGTAGAAATTTATTAGAATGTGTGTTGCTGATTTCTGAGAGCTTTGTCATTGTAGTCATACAGAATGTAAAGGATGCCTTCTGGTTGTAAAGAACTCCATGTCAACAGAAAACGTGGTATTTGTTTTATAAAGGTCTTGGAGAGAGAGGCATTGTATTATAAATCTCTAGTTGGAATTTTGCAAGTTATTCAGTATGGGCAGGTGTGTTGGAAGGCTTTTAGACTTTTGCATCAAAAAGTCTAAAACAGTTGATCTGGGACTGTTTTCTGCCCTGTGCTCCTTTTCTGAGGTAGGATTTTGTCTGCAAGACAATACTTGCTTTCCATGGAAAGAGATAATGCCTGTATTAGGCCAGCTGAAATAGTTGAGCAAGCTATCCTTAAGTGCTTCAGAGCATTTCCATGTGAAGAGTTTGCCTTTTTTTTTTTTTTGAGTTCTATTAATTGGTCTCCCAAAATATCAAATTATCTCACCAGAAACCTTCCCATGCTTAAATGCTGGACAGTCATGTGAGGAAACTAACATTTTGGATTTTGTGCTGTGGTTTCTGAAGATCTTAAGTCTGTAAATGAAGTACTGTGATGCTTTCTGATCTGTACCTTCCTCCACTTGACATGTCTGTTCAGTACACTCTTACTCCAGTCCTCCTTCAGCTGAGGCCTTCAACCTTCCATCAGGGAAACATCTCTGCATTTTATTGTAGTTTCCTTCGCTGCACTGAACCCACTTTGAGTCAATGAGGTGATCATATTGTATTCTTAAAAAGAGTGAGGGCAGTTTAAAAAAAAAAAAATAATCAGCCCTTTTGGTATATGCAAGGAAGCACATCTCATCAGGTTGCAGGTTTTTCATACCTGTGTGGTATGTTCCTTGTCAGAGTTCTCACAAAAGCTTGTTTGTGTGGAAGCTTGCCCCTAGCTCTAGTACTAACTAGCACAACTGAAGAATTTAAACATCATGGTATCCCTGGCAAATCTCACAACCCTTATCAGTAGTAGCAGTATCCACTACAGACAGACACTTATATGTTATTTCAGGCTGCTTAAATGTCTGTAAGGCTCTGTTCAGTTCTTACTTCAATTTGAAAGTTACTGCCAAAAAGTAATTCTGTTTTCCACTGATTCCTTTAACTATGCACCAATTTAATTTGTTGTGCTTAAGTCACATACCATCTAATATTTTCTTTGACTCTTTGCCAATTTGTTTCTTGTGAAACTATTCCCCAAATACTATAATGTGTAATTTGGTGGCACATGTTCTTTAGGGATTTTTTTTTTATTATTTTTCCAAGTAAGGTAAGTACAAAATAACAGCTATCTATCTAAATCAGCTGTTTTAAGTTGTATTGTAAGTACTTGCTTTTTTTGTTTGCTTTATGCAAATGAAAATTCTTCTAATTTTCATTCATTAAATTGCTGTTCTCTTTGTGTTGTTTAAGATGGAAGCTACAGACAAAATCGACTGAACCTCACAACATTGTTAGTACAACCAATTTCTGCAGTGCTTGCCAAAAAACTCATTTCCTTACCTGAGGACACTGTCCAAAAAGATAGGTGTATACCCCTCCAATGGCCAGCAGCAGGTAATGCTTTATAAACATCTTTTTCTTCTATGAAATGTTCTTCAAGGACTCCAGTTTTGTTTTCCATAACTGTATATATCATAAGAGTATCTTTTACTTAGCTGCTTTCTAGAAGAGGCTATGAACAATCTAAAAATCATATAAAATCTGACAGATGGAAGTGTTGGTTAAAAAAAAAAAGTGTTTTATTTACTCTAAAAGCTGTCTATCTTGATAACATCACTAGGTAGATTTTGTTAGTTCTACAGTATGGTTTGTTCAGCCTCATACTGCTAAAAATGTGATTTTAATATCAGGCATCAATGGCCATACTAAAGTTATTCTTTTTTTTTTTTTCTGCTTCTGGTGTAAAAATACGGTAATTCTAAACAGTGATGCATCTTTCTGTGTTTCTTACTTTCTGTCTGATGTAGAATAAATAATGTATTATTGTCTGAATCTTCAGGCACCTTTTCTTCCAAGTTTTACCAGGAAAATGATCATCATGATAAGAACAAAATACCTTGAGTACACCTGGATGTAACAAAAGAATGCATTCAGAATATCTCTTCAGAGATAATACCATTAGCAACATCATATGTACTACTGCTTGAAAATACTTATTGCTGATGTGGGGGGAAAAAAGTTAGAACACAGTCTTCCAGCAACATATTGTACAGTGTTTCAATGAAGTAACACCTTCTAGATAAGGTTCTAGATGAGGTGCATATTTAAAGTTACTCTGTCTTGATATTCATTTTGTGCTAGTATATCTTTCACCCCCCAAAAAAGGGCAGAAAAAAAATGTGGTTTATTGTAATATCTGTTTAACTTAATTGATTTGAACCATTAATCTTGGAAGGGATAGGCAAATTAAATTAGCCGCTGTATCCTGTCCTATATACAGTAATGATAATAGTAAAGCACATTATAAGGGCAAGCACTGTACTATCACATATGTGCTATGTCACTTGTTTATTGCTTTTGGAAAGTTATTTTGGATTAGAAGTACAATACAACAAGTCATTAAAAAGGGTGATTAATTTTATGGCTTGCGTTAGCATTTGTATTTACACATACTAAAAAGGAAGGCAGAAAGACCTCATGCTTCATGGCTTAATCTGTTGTGGTTAGGCAGAACTGTTGCTTTTCATGCATGGCTGACTAGATATTTTTAAGATTAACTGATCTTCCCTACAACCAGTAGATAAAGACTATATAAACAAGAAAGGGTCATTTTGGAAGAAACAAATGCTTAACTATTCCAGGTGGGGTATGTGAAGCTTCCTAGTATTGTAGTTTTCAACAGCTGAAGTACCTGAAGGATGATCTTGACGTGGCAAATGGCATTCATTTTGGAATGATAAAAGGCTGCGTTGTCTATGTTTCTCAAGAAGCTTTGTGTGGAGGCTGCAGGACAGAAACGCCTAAAGGGTAGCTTATTCTGTTGTTTTGGTTTTTTTTCTGTGACACATGGCATGTCTTTTTTTTTTTTTTTACCGTGAGAAGGCAGGAATTCTGTGTGGTGGCAAATTTCATGAAAGAAAGAATATTCCAAGCTAGCAGTCTGGTAAAAGCCAATCCGTGTCATGACTTACTCTGGATGATAACAACAGCTTGTGTCTGATTCAATGTAAAGCTTCTGAGCCGCAGTAATTCCTGCCAAATTTATTTTAAAAATTGTTAGTTTATTGAGCAAGTACTGTATATGATAAGAAACATTGCCTAATTCTGTAATGCATTATGATAGAATTTGCCTTGAAATAATGGTGAAACTGTAGATATGCTGGAGCATACAGTGTACTGAGTGTTCAGTAGCAGCCTTAATGGAAGAGATAAAAGACTGGTCTTCTAATAACAAATCTTGTGTAACTAATAATAATAATAATAATAGCAACAGCTACTAAAGAGAAAATGCTGAACAGAGCAATGAATATAAGAACAGCGAAGGCTGAATTTTCAGTCTTCCCGTTGATTTGCACAAACTTAAGAGAGTGATTTCACTTCTGACGTAGAACTCATCACTTATCTGTCAAAAGAGGTGAATGAGCAATTCAGATGATCGGTTGGCTTAAAATTTATTAGAATGAAATGATCTTAATTCTCTCATCAGTATGTTTCAAAAAGCTGAACAGCAGATTCATCAGTAATGATTAAACATTTATATACAGTTTTCTCACAGTGCCTCTTTTTTCCCTTAGCCTTGCAGTTTTCAAGACACATAATGTGACGGGGTAGGAGGATAAGGAGGGAAACATCTGAGATATAATGAGTGCTTAGAACCTACAAAGCGAACAGTGGGAATTGAAGTTAGTTATTAGTTTTGTGTTAGTTGAAGTTAATAATTAGATTTGCTTTTTGTTTAGTGTGGTGCATCGTTGATAATCTTCATTAATTTGAAATTCTGTGCTCCCATGAACTTTTTCCGCAAAATGGGCAATTAGAAGGAGGTTAAGAGTGAAATGCTGTAGAGAAGCTGTAGGCTTCCGAAGCTTGCTTTTTTTTTTATAGAATATTACTAGGATATTTGCTAGAACATTATGAAGACTAATGTAAATCTAAAGCACGCCTATAAACATAAATGAAGAAAGTCCTGCTGTGTTGCAGTAAACTTTCTTTGTTAAGTTACCTGCCAGTTGGTGGATTTCAGTCACATGCAAGTCATCCTTTTTCAGTGAATCTCTTGAGTATGTGAAGTAAATCTATCGGAATTTAATTTAAAAAGTATTTTTCATCACTAATGACCATAGAGAATCATAGAATAGTTAGGGATGGAAAGGACCTTAAGATCATCTAGTTCCAGCCCCCTGCCATGGGCAGGGAAGCGTCATGCTAGACCATGTTGTCCAAGGCTCTGACCAACCTGGCCTTGAACCCTGTCAGGTTGAACACTGTCAGGGAAGGATCATTTGCTGCTTCTTTGGAATTAAGTGGAAAGCCTCATAGCCTGGAAGTCTGGTGGTTAAAAATATTAATGAGATATGTGTAATTTTCCTCTTCTTTAAGTGTCAGTTTTCATACTCATACTAATTGCATCCAAGAAGATAGAAGACGAGAAAGGTTGTCTGTATCGAACAAGATCATAGAGTATATTATTTCAGAACATATCAGTAAAGTTAACGTATACAGAACAAGACCCCATTCCTTATGAGCTCTTAATGACTTTTGCTGTGACTTTTACTGATCAGTAGTGAATAATCTTAATGACTACAATGCAAGCTTCATCATAGCCTGCAAGCAAATCCACTTCTTTACGAAAACAGGTGAGAGTGGAACAGATAAACAGAAGTGACTGCTCCTGAAGTCTTCTAGCATAACATAAGAATTTTGTGTAAGACTTTGAACATGTATTTTATACTGTTCCATGCATCGGGTGGTCATTATACTGAGTCTTATAGATAACTCTGATCATACGAAATTTGAATCTAGTTATATGAAAGGAATAATTGGAAGAGTCTTTTAGTTTCCATATTATATGATCATCATCCAAGACAAAGTTCTCTGCCAAGTGCTGCAGTAGTGCAAATCACGCTTATCTTCTTCTCAGTCAGAAGAAGGGCATGGAAAGATAAAAGACATATATATCCTCCTATTAGGCTACAGCCTTGTGATGTTGTCATATGTGTTTCTCCTTCGTAGCTTGCTGGCTGTCAGAGGGAAGAAAGAATACTGTATTTAATGAACTCTGGCTGTGCCATCATATACTATGCTATCAATATGCAAACAATTCCATGATTTCTAGGTATTTGCACTATGCTAAATGTAAATCCAAAAAAAAAAGAAATAAACATGACAGCATATTGTGTGGCAGTGCACATCATATCTACAAAATTTGAATTAATTGCACATAACAGTGGAAGTATAATGATGTTCTTCAGATATTACTTACCGGCATTGCAAAGAAGTACATTAAGTAGGGAAGTCAGATGTAATGCAGACATACTGAATACAAACAATTATACTAATCCTCTCAGATTTTCCTTTTGAGCTTGCTTTAGATTCTGTACTTTCTCTTTTTAAATAAAAGTTCATGAAAAAAATGAAGCATAAACAGTGTGAAGCATTTTTTAACGTATCTTCTCTCTACTACTACCTGAAGGCTCACGAGTTTTCTACCAGAATTGTAACTGAGCAAGATGTATTTTCAGAATTCTGTTCTGTGCTGTTATTTTGTGTGTGTGATGCTTTTTTTTTGATTGCTGTAAAGCAGATGAAGAATCTCTCAAAATAGCGTGAGATGATGAAGTTCAACTAGACAATCAATATAAAGCATTCTCAAAATTCATAACTATGATATTGAGTGACACATTTATTCTATATCTCATTAGGCCATCCTGATTTAGAGCCTCCTTAAAGTTACATTTCATGTAGGTTTTTGATATGCAAGTTATATTGTTATATAAATGCTTATGACAGCTACATGTCTTCATTTAAAGTCCTATGAACTTAATTGAAAACTGGTGCAAAATATGGATAGATAAGGTTTTGCACTCATTTGGAATTGACGTGATGAAATACTGAGAACTAAATAAAATATATTTTTCCCACACCAGTAAGATTTCAAAAGCCCATTAACTAGGCAGTCTAATATGGAAGTAGTCAGTTGGAATGTACTCATTCTAAATGATAACATCTGATGAAAATTAAGCGTTTGTTTCAAATGACAGCAAAATCTGCTGTTACATATTTAATGTATACTTGTATTGGTGTACTTGACAGGGTATCCCAAATGTTATGTACCAGTCCATATTACTCCGTGCAGTATCACTAATAGAATATAAGAAATCCATGACATATTTGATTATTTATTTTTTTAATATGTAAATACTTTATGCTGTCTCTGCATTCCACTGTTAGTTCTCTCTGTATCATCGTCCTCTGTGGTATTTGGTATTACTTTAAAGCCTCAGGTCTTGGGGCAAATAACTTAGAAAACCATAGTTTTATTATTAAAATAATTATTAGCTTTCAGGGTGTCTGAAAAGCTTGATAGTGTGTGTGTGTCTGTGTGTGTGTCTGTGTGTGTGTTCAGAAAGTTAGCAGTTATTAGAACTTGATGTAAGGTTTTTGAATGACTGGAACAAGAACTCTGTTGAATGTAATGTTATCCTGACTACCTCAGTTGAATTAGTGCCCCCCAAATAACATGGCCGTGGATATTTGATGATGTTTGAAAGTTTTACTTTAACTGTGATTTCAAACTGATGTATTTTTATTCAGGTGTGGTTTATGTTTATTTCAGTGGGAATTATATTCACGTTAAAAACTGGATTACTTATTCAATGTACCTTGTTTCTGCAATCTTCTGAAATAACTTCTTGGTTTATGATACAAGAACTGCATTATCAAAATACATGAATTTAGTTAGTACTTGATACTTCTACACTTGAGTTAAATGGGTATGTAGGGAAAGTTTTGTTCATAAGTAGCAAAAATCTTGTCAAATGAGTTCAGTTTTTAAACCTTAGTCCGTGATGCTTTTTAAAGTACAGCACTGAAATGAATGTTCAGAAAACTGTCTGATTATAGGTGGTTAGTATGATCAGGATTCAAGAATTTAACCAATATATTAGAAAATCAGGCTCAAGTCTATATTCCTGTATGCTGGTATGAGCTTAGGATAAGGTTAAAAGCAAAAAAAAACCCAAATAAAACATAACTCATTTTACAGGCCGCAAGTAGTTTTTTGTTCATTTGAAGTTCTAAATGAATAGGAAGTCCAAATTGAATGGGAAATAACTGCATTTCCAAAAATAACTATGTAATTGTGAGAGGAGCAGGTAGTCATTTGGTATGAGGCAGTTTATAATTTCCAAGTCAAGAAATAAATAGATAAATAATACAGACTATAAATACTTTTCTTCTACTTCAGAATATGTAAACACAAACTGTAACCTAAATAATGTTAACCTAAGTTTACTTAGTTTTCAGAGAATACAGAAAAAAAAAGAAAGATGTCAAAATCTTTAAAATACAGCATTTGGAAGAGCGGTTTGTTGTCAGAACTGTTTAAAGGCGATTAAGTTTCACTTCTGCTACATACTCCAAAGAGTACTTTCAACCTTTTCATCTGGTGTACTAAGCCTTTAAGCCCAAGTCACTTTAAGCTGACTGCTGTGTTACATGACTATTAACTCCAATATCTGATTCCAGAATATGTGTATTGCCAGGAGTTAATTTTCCATTTTTTTCTTATCAGCTGAAGACTGGATAGCTGATGTTGATTAAAGAAAAACAGTTAAGTCACTTGTCTTCAAAAGGGTGTATGTTCTTTTTGTTTGAAATGGGGCCTAAAGAAACCTATCTAAAACGTTGTAGGGTTAGAAAAGGAAAGGAAATCAGTTTGGGCTTGAAAATCTTATTTTAATCTGAGTAAATTGGCTCTAGATTGGTTGTAGGTGAGAAATAGCAGCAAGAAGTAACTTGCATAGTATAGATACAATTTAAATTGCTTGATTAACGTGGATGGTATGAGCTGTTCTCACATTGGTTTAAAATACTGAAAAGAGAGCATAGGTGACAGTACAGTGCTGGGAACTCTCTGGATTGATTTTTTTTTCTTACTGATGTACTTTTTTAAAAATCTCTAGAATAATTATTGAGATTTATAGAACAAACAATTCATCATCATATGTTTAGTAACAGTAACTTACATCAGAAGAGTGAAGTTAATTATAACTTAAACCCCAACATATGCATGACGGATCAAAATACAAACTTGCTGTGACTGATTATTGCAAAATGTGGTGTGAGTTATTTTTAATTAATCGTGCTTGACCTGCATTTTCTTTACTGTTGCATTCTAATAAAAACAGAGTTGTCACGTACAGGGCACATCTGTTTATAACAGGTTTTATCTGAGTAGAAAGTAGAATAAATATTGCTAGGGCTTTCTTTTTTTTAACAAAGAAAGAGTCTAGCAGTTAGTTTGCTTTTTCCAAATTATCACTGAAGACTACTGAATGAAAATATATTGGATTTTATTTTAGGAGAATTTTAAAGTAAATTTCTCAGATGAAGTACCAGCAAATGAACCCTGAAAAAAGTATTCATAGAGATGTCTTGTTTTTATTTTACATGTTGGAGTAAGCTCTCACTTGCACATTCCTCATGATCTCGGGAAACATAGCCAGGAAACAAACTGTTAGAAATGCATCTTTGGGAGGATAATAGCCTGGGAGATAGAGACAAAATGATCCACGGAATATTTTAATTTTGGTCTGTGACAGTTGGTATAAGGACATGGAAGGAATTCAGGCTCAAAACCGCCTTTAAACACAGGTCTGTCATGGGGGTGGTGCTGCACTCGATGTAAGAGAACCTCACTGAAGGTCTGGGATGACAGGGTAGTTATTGTCAGATAATTGCTAGCATTTAAGTTTGAGCCCTTTAAGACATTTTGACTTTTCTCACATAGAATTTATGACCTTTCAGATGAGGTGAATGTCAATACAGCCTATTATAATGCAAATGAAACATTTTAAAGGTATCTGCAGCTCCCTGTAGTTAGTTGTTTTGTTTCCATTGACAAAAATCGCAGGAGTTAGAATGGTCAGTGTGACCCACCTGAGACACAGAGGGAATGACAGTGGTTTTCAGCAAAGGACAGTTAAATTTCTTAAGCTATTTTGACTCAGACATTTACTTCTCTGTGGCTTTATCGTGCACTGCAGTCTTAACTGGCATAGTAATACTGGCAAGTCCGGTATGTTTTAGTAGGTTTGTGAACTTTACTGCCTTTGTATTTGCTCCATTTCCTCAGCTGATACCAGCTAAGCCAAAAACAAACAAACAAAAGAAAAAAAAAAAAAAAACACACACAAAAAAAAAAAACACCAAAAAACACAAAACCCTGTCTTCTGTTGCCTTAAGTTCAGAAATGTATAACCAGATGCTATGCCGTCAAAGTGATAAGTAATGCAAAGGTCTAACTTCTCCCATCTGATTTAACATAGGGGGTTTTCTCCAGAATAGTGTAACATAAACCAAGTATAATTTTGTGAATGTTACTGAAAGATTGACCTGGGTGACGAATTAGGTGGGGAAAAAAAAAAACTACCAAGGTAAAGACTGAAATAATATTTATTGGTGAATTGAATGATCTTTTAACTCAAGGAATAGAGATCTCTTTTAAGATTCCAGCTTTGAACCCCGCTGCTAAAATGGGACTAAGAGAATGTCTTTTTTTTTACTTGTTTTGTTGGGGCTTCTTTGTTACTTTGTGATTTTTTTTGTTGGTTGGGTGGGTTTTTTGGTTGTTTTTGTTGTTTTGGTTTTTGTTTTGTTTAGTTTTTTTAACTTCTGGGGAATTTATATCTGCATCCTGTAGATTAGTTGGCTGGATGAACAAGTTTAACATTCTATTTTTCTTTTTCTTTTTGTCTTTTAACAGGCAAAAAAATAATCAGTCTGAATATTCAGTCAGTCACAACTTACAAGACAATTTCTAATGTTATTGGATATTTAAAAGGGACCGTATTTCCCGGTAAGTAGCTCATTAGCACTTGTATCAATTATTTGTTTCATGATGACTGGAAGTCATAGCTGGGATCAGGATTCTGTTTTGACGGGTAATGCGCTAATACAGAGGAAGGAGAGAGCATTTGTTACAGTCAATTGTGGTTTGATTTATAATAAAACATAAGGGTTAAACAGAGAATGAGCTCAGGGGGATATTATAGGCAGATATAGTAAGTATATTTTTACACAAAAAGCAGGTGTAGAGAGTATCAGTGTTTTATACCAGGTAACTACATTGGTGATTTTAATTTTAGGGTGTACTTTATTGCATTATTCGAATTATTTTGCAAGCTGTCTATACATCTTTAGAAAAGATTTTGATTTTTTTTTCTGATGTTAGCAGAATTTTGAGAGAAATACAGCTCTATGCTTCAAGTCTAGAACATCCCTACAAAATACAAGTGTCTCACTGAAACTAAGGTGTAGATCAGCATGATCTCTGGCTTAGTTAGATTAGATTTTTAGTAGAGAATCCAATATCAAATATGATTACAGTGTACAAAAATCTGAGACTAAGCTCTTAATCACTCTTGCTGCAGCTTTCTTTTGTTACATTCATGCCTTATGCTAGTTTTACACAAGCCTATGAATTACAATTACTGTTCTGTACATCCATGAATTAAACAAGATTCTAAGTGCAACTGTGGCATAAACCACAAATCTCATCCCTCCTTTGATACTGTATGTAGATACTAAGATAATCAGGCCTTCATAGGAAAGAAGATAATTTTGAGCTTATTTTGTCTGCAAGTGAATTTGCCTAGAAGTTGAAGGATTTCTGCAGCGCAAATGAGCACTGTTGCTGGCTACTTACATAGTGCAAAGGGTTGTAGACCCAGTCCAATTTCTAACGTACAGATGGCATCATCATCAAAACATCATGACATTTGTCTTGATTAATGCTCTTTTATTAGGTTCAGAAGAAAGGTTGCAAATATATCTAGAGTCCCTTAGGAGGCTGGCTAGTCATTTCATGTTTAAGTGATGGAATAAAGGAGGTAGGAAGGATTTAAGCTTATTCCTGTTAGAGAAATAATGACTTAGTGTTGCGTGTGCTGAATGCTGTGCTTTTCACAAGAACATTTAAAAAAAAACAAAGCAATCAAACAACAAAAAAAAAAAACAAAATAGAAAACAATTAGCATGGTTAATTTAATTTCAATAAAGGATTTAATTTCCTTCATGTATTTGAAGTTATGAGTCTACTATTGCTAGTGTGTTCTAAATAGCAGTCATGGAATTTGAAAGGTAAGGACTTCCATATTTAGACATACCATGTACTGAATTGTGAAAAGAGGCAAGACAAATAAAAGGCTTCAGTTTCTGTTTGATAAATTCTTTATCTTCTTTGTGTCTGGATCTTTCATCTTATTATTGCATTCTTAACAAGATGTTACCACAAAGGTATGTCAGTATCTGCTTAAATTTAAAAAGTAAAGGATATATAATGAAGTGAAGTCAATAGCACTCCCAGGTGTCAACAGTTTATCCCATAAATGTCTTGCTGAACAAGGGCCATAGCAACTGACTTTTAATATAGGCCCGAGTTAAGCAATTAATGCATAATGATAACATTATGTACAGGATCAATATTAAACCTTCTTTTGTTTCTCTACTCTTCCTGGTTGATACTGTAGCCATGCCTTCTCAATTGATTAGAGAACTTGCTGTTTGCTTGTCATTGATTCTCTGTCATTTCAGCCGGGTTTTGCTAGTTTCATACACCTGAAATGGTCACCTTTATGTTCCCAGAAATGCAGAAAAAAAGCAAAATTTGTCTGTAGCACTTAAAGACTGCAGGGCGTTGTCAAGGGTGGATTTTGAATTTTTGTTTGTTTATTTGTTTGGTTTTTGCTTAAAGATCTCCTAACACAAACACATCTGTGTAATAGTGATCTTACTTGACATTTGAGCATCCGAAATGCAACCAAGATATTAAAAGCAGAGGAAATGTGATAGTTGGTAGGCCTTTTAAACCCTGAAAAACTTAACACTGATTTTGTAGCTCTGTTGGACATGGTTGAAAATGAGAAGACAGTATGAAGTCACTCTTTTTTAATGATAAATCCCTGATGTCCAGCTCATCACTACCCTGAATACTATCCCATCTTATCACATTCACAAGTATCTGGTGAATATTTTTTCTCTTTCTCTAGTCCTTTCTTTCTCTTTTATTACCTTGTGATCTCTTTCTCCACATGCTTCAGCAAATGATTATGAGAAAGGACAGCTGCTGTCTCTGTAAGCATGACCATCCTTTATCCTATGCCTTTCCTATAGTCATTTGCTTCAGGGTATTGCCTCTATTCAAAAGGGAGAGATGTGCAAAGAAAAAGAATTTCAAAGGAGGCACCAGCTGTTATTTTTTACCCTTGTTCATTCAGCTTGCATCTCCTACAGTAAATTGCTGCTTGTAGCTTTTTTTCTCATCAAAATGACCTATACTATTTTACATAAAGTCTCTTTCCACTCCCTTTCGCATATGCTGTTCACAGACTGAACAGAGATTAAAATATGGGGCAAGCATTGATCCTGTCTGCTCACCCTATGTTGGTGGCACTTCCTCTGACAACCTAGAAGCCTGTAAGGCCATTAATTTCTGTTCCCAATTTCTAACATTAAGTTGAAGAACCCGTGACTTTTCACTGTCTGTGCAACCTGTAATTAAACATCTCATGATGTAACACACAGGTTGCAAAAATCTATGTTGTAGATTGCATTTTGTTACATTAAATTCCAGTATCTGAAGGGGGCCTATAACGATGCTGGAGAGGGACTCTTCATTAGGGACTGTAGTGATAGGACATGGGGTAACGGGTTAAAACTTAAACAGGGGAAGTTTAGTTTTGATATAAGGGAGAAGTTCTTTACTGTAAGGGTGGAGAGGCACTGGAATGGGTTGCCCAGGTGAGCTGTGAATGCTCCATCCCTGGTGGTGTTCAAGACCAGGTTGGACCGAGCCTTGGGTGACATGGTTTAGTGGGAGGTGTTCCTGCCCATGGCAGGGGGGTTGGAACTAGATGATCTTAAGGTCCTTTCCAACCCTAACTCTTCTATGATTCTATGTACACTTAGATTTATATTTTGCATTTCTGCTTTTAGAAAGAAATTTTCATTTACATGCCTATTCACCGCCCAAGCAGTTAAGTGAAGATGCTGTTTTATCTGTACATAACAGATACCCTGCTTATAAAGCATTTTTATGCCTTATAAAACAACATTTCCATGAATTTTGGTAAACAAAAGTAGAAGTTCATTTTGACTGAGAGTGGTCTAATAATCAGTGTTCGTAAGTGTTCAGTTAACATTCTTTCTAGGCAGCAGTCACTGCAAAAAAAAAATGGGGAGAAGATATTGAATTTTATAAGCAAATATAAAACACAGGCCTTTCCCACCTATATGTTGCTGCATTCCAGTGTGCTGACAACAGTGAAGAATGAATCCCCTTGGATAAAGAAAGAAAACTAAAAATTTTTGCACTTTTGGAACCCAAATGACGCTTGGAGATTCTTGTGCATCTGGCATCACTTGATAACTATTCTTCTGTTCTTTATCGGTGTCCTGAAATATGGAAAGAACTCCCTTATAAGTCTAGATCTGGATCAGAAAGAGACTTTAGTAAATATTAGAACACAACCAGGAAGCAGGCCTTCAAAGAGGCTTCAGTTTTGAATTCATCTCGCACAGAAGATCCAATATTTTAATAAGGCATTCAGTATAACTCTGCTTTGACTTCTTGACACGCCTTAGTCACACTAGTCATTCATGTTGTTTCATACCTCATAATCCTTTTGGAACAAAATGAGGTTCTTTACACTTGTGACGTAGTATTTGGATTATATATTATGCCTTAAGAGATGAAGTTTTCATTTAATTTCTCTGAAAAAAAAAATAAAATGTGAGTTTGTTTTCTGGATAACCATAGGCATGTTCTTTATTTCAGGTTGAAACTTCTTGCTTTTCTTTTTATAAAGTAGTTACCTCCAGTATCATCAAAGTTGCTAGGTCTGACTTACCGTTTCTGTTTCATTCATTATATCTATTCCTCTGTCATGTCTCCTCTCTAAACCTGCAGTCCAGGTCTTTTCAGTGTCTCCTTACATGGAAGTCTAAGTCCTGATATATAACCCTTCTGGTTACCAGCTTCTCAACTGCTGTTTCTGCAATGTCTTTTTTGAGATAGGGTGGTGAGCACTGAACACTGTCTTCCAGGTGAGGGAGTACTAATACTTTGTGTATTTTCTCTATGTTTCTCATTGTACTACCACACCTTTTCTTTTCTTTTTTGGATGCTAATATGTATTGAAGATAGAGTTTCCTGCTTATTCATTTGTGATTTTTTTTGTAACACTGTAATGTGAGCTTGGGACTTTCTTATATGAAGAAGTCCTGGCTGTAAAAATGATATATGTCAGATTTATAAGAAGGGAGAATAATAAGCAACAATGAGGGCAAGGACACAGGGTTTAAATTAGGAAAATTACTAGTATATTTTTAACTAGTATTCACAGTTTTATCTATTTATAGTGTATGATTGTCTTGCATATGATCATATATTTTTTTTTTTGACAGCATTTTGTTGTATTAATGACATTACAGACTAATACAGTTAATCTTTTAGGCTTTCTAAAAATCCTTTTAATGCTAATATCCAGAAGAAATAAGATTCTCTGTCTGTCCCTTTTTTCACATTTCAGATAGATACATCATCATTGGTAGTCATCACAACAGTTTGAATATTTACAGTGGACAAGAATGGGCCAGTAGCACTGCTATCATCACAGCATTTATACAAGCCTTGACACTGAAGGTTAAGAAAGGCTGGAGACCTGACCGGACCATTGTTTTCTGCTCATGGGGAGGAACGTTATTTGGGAACATTGGTTCATATGAATGGGCAGAGGTAAAATAGCTTTAGAAAGACTTATTGCAGTAATGATCACTTTTGTTGAAAGCATAAAAACATGACAAAATTGCCGCATAGAAATTATGGTTCATTAACTAGCATGTGACGTCTGTCTCTGTGCCTTCATGAAGTCCAGAGTAAATGCAGTGAAAAAATCTGTAGAGGCAGTTCCTGTGGAATGGAGCATGTGATAACGAGACTGCAAGTTTCTATAGCTGTCCATGTTGCTTTTACAGCCTTTGGGAACTGTTCCCCTCCCTAATTCAGCAGACGACTGTAATAAAGGGCATTGCCAAAGTTTGGAGGAGAGAGAGGGGAAACCTCAGAAAAATACCTAGGCACAGGAATAGCTTAGAGGGCTTTTTCTGCTTCTTGGGGATTCAACAGTTACTAACTTTTAATTGATAGGCTTATCAATTAAAAGTGTGGCAGTAGATAATGATAGTGTGGGGAGAATTGAATCAAGACCGCACTTAATGGAGAGAACTGTACTGTGGTTTGCATTAATTGCATAAGCATTGCAGTATCTCCATGGCTTGTGCTGATTCACTTTCCAAATATTTGTGCTAAGGAGTTAGATACAATCTGACGCAGACAATTCCTTGAGCTCTTTCTTTCAGCAGAATAGAAACCTGCTTACTGAAAGAAAATCAGTGCTGTTGATCATACAGTGGACACAAGTTAATAAATTAAAGGAATAGCTAGCAGAGAGGTTCATGGCTGCTGCATTAAAACAGTAGATAAAATGAAGAGTTAATTGCTTTTTAGCATGCGTGAGAAGCAGCTAGCTCTCATTGAAGTTTCATACTTCCAACATGATTATTCTTCAAAAACAAGAGGGGTGAAAAAATCAAATTGAAAAGATCCAGGCTGGAAGCAAAATTTGTTTAGTTCCACTTCAAGTCAGCTTTACATCAGATGTAATTGCGTTACACCCCTTCTGTTCAATATAAAGAGATGCTTAACGCAAAGAGTAACCCATTACTGAGAAGGCAAAGAGAATCTTTTTTAAAAAGATAATAATTGAAACAGTTTGTAAATGCTATTTTTGTAGTCTAAAAAAGTACTAAAATGAAAACACTGGGAAAGTTATGCACTGCAGATCTGAATTTGTTCTCTAAAACTGAGTACATTTAACTGTTAGTAATGATTACTTATGAAGTTTGTCTTCTGTTTGGCAGAAGTTTAAAAGGTCATCATGTTGTTTCACAGTATGTAATGTTTTCAGTTTTGGCCTTACACATGTAGTCATTTTTAATTCCTCCCAGGCATATTTGCGTTCTGTTAGGATGATGTGTGAAATGGAATTCTATCTTACACTATAATAGAGAAATAACATTAAGATGTCCTTTGAAGTCCTTAACAGTATATTGTAAGAAGTAGTAGTTACGTAATACTTAGGCAATAACAGAGTACAAAAGCGTAGGGTTCAGTTTTTCCCTAAAAGGAGCTGAAAGAACAAAACAAGTCTTAATTATAATGATGCATAGTAATAACCATTGCTCTGCTTTTGTTGTAGGATTTTAAGAGAGTTCTTCAAAGAAATGTTGTTGCTTACCTTAGCCTCCATAATCCAGTCACAGGCAACTCAACTTTACATCCTGTTGCATCTCCTTCTCTTCAGCAACTGGCAGCAGAGGTTAGAAATAAAATATTGTCTTTCACATGTTGTTTATTAGACTACATGGTTAACCCCTTTGATGCCAATTGGGTATAGATAACTGTAGGCGGAGTTTGTTCTTGTTAAGCATTTTAAACTCACAAATACATACGAACTATTTTTACTTAATCAGCATATTGAATTTTGTATAAAAAATTATAGGGTGCATTAAGAGTTTGGAAAGGATAACTTATTTCAACAGCTCAACAAAGTCTCTACATACTTGCATGTCCTACAGCTTTTTCACCTTTTGTCAGCTTTAAAGTAACATTTTTTAATCCTCAGCACAAAGCACATTTTTCTCTTCCTAATCTGATCTTTCTATTCTGTCAATTTGCATTTAAACCTGTATGTATACCAGATGTAAAATGATGCACAGAGAGAGTATTACTCTTACTATACTAAATACTATCTAAATTATGTCAGGTTCAGTGCTCAGCTAAGCCTTTGTAACTAGTCTACAGTCAGAATATTCTGTAATTAGTTAGGCTGGTCTAAACTAATTTAATTACCTTATTGCAGTTTCTGAGGTTGCTGAATTTATTAATATTTAAAATAAATTGAAAATAATTTAAGGTACATACTAAAAGATAACAGTTTGAAGTGGTGTGCATAAAATGGGTTTCAATTTTGTTTTCATAAAGTGTGCTTTATAGACATTTTTTACATAGATTTTCCAAGCTAATACTCATTAGGTTTTCTGATGTTTCTTTGACTTACCTCTTAAGCATTCAGTACTAAACACTGCTCAAAGTAGCATCTTGAATCAAATGGAGTTTAAGATTGATCTTGCTTGGCAGTTGTTGTCCAAATAATTTAGTAAAATGGTACCAGTCAAATTGCTTCTAAGCAATGTTTTAACCACTTCTGTCCAGTGATTAGGTGGTAATTTCATCATGGAAAGGATCTGGAAAGTAGTTTATTCTGTAAGTATTGTGGCAAATGCAATGCAAAATCATTTATTTTCAGGGTTTAATTCATGAAAAAATATCTATAGTGTTTCATATAGGTGAGTTTACAGGTGCTATGGTTATGTCAATTAAAATTTTATTATTAGGTTCTGTATTTAAAACAAAAATACTATTCTGATAGGTTGCTATCCTTTCCTAACCTATTAGTATTTGCAGTCCTTTCCTTATGAAAAAAGGTATTTACCATTTAAAGGAATAAATTTATTACATTAGGTCCTTGAAATTTTTTTTTTTTTTCTCGTTTTGTTTCTTTGACTTCACATTATGATTCATGGCAGTGATCTGAAAACTGTAAGCTGTCTGAAGCTGTGCAGCAAACACTTTCATGATTATCTGTTTATCACTTTCTTTAAGATTTGATTCTTTTATTCTAATTAGTGCCACATTAGTACAAGTGTTGAAGTCAGGCCCTCTATTTTGGAAAGACAGCAAAGGAAATCTCTTTTTCACTTCTGCTTTATTTAGGTGTTCCATTTGAATGTGATGTAATATTTTGTAATTCTTGTTGTGATAGCAAATGCATCTTGTCTGGTAGTATAGATACAGCATCTCTTAGATGTCCTGCCTTGCCCCAGTTAATTAGTTTACAGTCAGTAAAACATGACTAGAACTCCATCTTTTTTTTATTCAGTAAACACTCTTCATTTCTTCTCTGATTCTTTAGTGGCTAAGGCTTTGTTGTTGAGATTGCATCCATTGTTTACTGTTTGAAGCCCCATCTAAAAAGGACAAAGCGAGTGTGAGATAATCTGTATAGTTTGTTGGGGTTTTTGTAGGATAATATTGTTTGTAATTAATGCAACAGTCATGCAGTTTGTGACGTTAAAAATATTTGAAGGAATTACTGCTTCCAAATGCTGGTTAGATTTCTGAATACGTCTGAATTGACAGTGATGGAACAGCCAAGCACAGATCTTTTTTTGTTCCCAAGGGTACTCCCAATTTGCCACGTGTCTAGGAGATTTTCTCTGGAAGACGGATCTACTTATAAAGAATATTGATTCTACTTCCAGCACCTGACAAGAAAACAGTGTAATTACAGATTACCTCAAAATTATTATCAAGGGTAAGATGTCACTTTCTGGAGCTCATCTCATCTTGAAGAAAATGTGAGTCCATTCACATGAGATTCTTGTTAACAGATGCAGGTAGCAAAGAAGTGCTTAAAGTCTAGTGAGACACAAGGATCATTTGAATTTGTAAGAATAATTCTCTAAAATGAGGTTTGCTAAAATAAAAGAAGGTGAAATGAGAATTTCTAATAAATAAAAAATGAGAAGAGAAAATAACCAGTCTTGTTTAGTTAGACAGAAACTTTCCATAATTTATGGATACATGGAAGATACTGCACTGTACCTTTGGATTCAATGATAAAAGCCATACACTCATTTTTAGATCATGATAAAAAAGACCAGCTGGAATTCTTTTTTTCCAGTGTTGTAACACTCTTGAGGAGGGGGAGACTAAGATCTGCTCACTATTTGCACCGAGGACAGAGTTGGGTTCAATGCTCATTGTTGTGCTAAAATTGTGGGCACTTCTCAGTAGAACAGAGGAAGAATGTTGTTTTGTAACAATTAATACTTGTTACAAAAGCCTGAAAAGGTTAAGTGTCAGTATTCTGGGGAAAAAAAAAACCTGCAGTTTGTCCTCTGAAAGAAAAGTAAAAATCGCACTAAATGTGTAGCACTCCACAAATGCTGCAAGGACCATCGCTTAAAGAGAAATGTGGAGAAATCACAAACTGAGATAGGCAGATGCATGCAACAGTATTTACTTTCTGTGCTATTAATATACGGCTTTTCTAAAATAAAATTTTGGACAGTCACTAACCAGTGCAGCTTCCAAAACACTTTATTTCCTTAATTTCTGGAAACTATGAAAAAACTAGGAAGTTTTTTTTTAAATGAAACATAGTTTCTGTTAATATTCTAGACGTGTAAGTAAAAAGAAAAATCACAAGCCTAATGAGCTGTCTACTACATGAGATCTGGTGGTCAGTTAAAGCACAGGATAAGTGCTTGGCTAATTAACAAAACATGACTTAAAGATATTTTATGTAAAGAGATTACATCTTTATTTTAGTTGCAGGTTTCAAAAGCAAGCTACATAAGCCATATTCAAATAATAATTTTATGTGCCTATGAGTAGAATTCAGTGGGTTCTGGTTGAAACATCAAATTACATGATGAACCTAATTTAAATATTTGGATTAATTAAGCAAAGAAGAATTCAGACAATTCTGAAACCTTGACATTTAATTCAAATCATTTTTATATAGCTATGCTAATTAGCGTCCACATTAATAAGAAGGAAATAATGCCAAATTATATTTTTGCCTACTATTTTTTTCTAAGGAAAATGATTGTTAATTTTCTCAGTTAATGAGTCACTATTTGTTGGCAGAGTGTCATTGGTAAATTGGGCTTGTTTGTTTGCTAGCATTCATCCTCTGTAAATAAAGCCTTTAATGAATTGTTCTATAATTAACATTTCACAAGTAAAAAAACTTATTATGAAACATAAATTCATTGCTGTTTTCCTTTAAGTAATTGTATGACCGCTACTGATCAGACTCCAGGTCTGCTGTTGTTGCTGACCCAAGAAAACTTATTGCTCCTGTCTCCTATGGAAAAAGGCATTTAAAGCTATCAAATAGTGAGTGTTAAAAGTAACTGTATCAAGTATTGTTCCATGCTATTTAGCTTTATTTATTTCTATTAATGGAGTAAAAGGCTTAAAACATCTTTACATTTAAAGGTGGTATTATTAACAGAAAATTACTTTTTCTTTTTGAAGTAGAATTGAAGATAAACTTCTTTATAGATGCTTGTTACTATTATTTCTTGATTTAAAAAAATAATCTTACATTAATGTCAGCATTGATTCTTTTCTTCCAGCTTATATGTGTTACTCATTTATTTTGTTTTACCTTCAGTATTTAAGAATGGATCTACAAGCATCATGTATCAGTAGGATGTAAAGAAGAAAAGAACATTAAAATATTGAGTTGCTTGTTGTATGCCGTGTAACAGAAGATTATAGCTTTCCCATGAATTTTCAGGCTTTACCTGTTAACTGCCATTAGTGTTATAATGGAGTGGTGATGTAATTTTTTATATTTGTGTTGAAAATAAATAAACCTCTTGAGAATCAGAAATTTATGCTGTGAACACTTGTCTCAGGAATTCATAACTACGTTAAAAGGGTGCTGTTAATATAGACAGTAATTCATTAAGATGCTACTTCTCCAGTGTGAAAAGCAAAGTTTCATTTAATGATGAATATGATTTTCAGGTTACACCAGGTCCTTTCCATCTGCTAACAATGCACTTATTTGGACAAAACATTGCTTTGTCCACTGTTGAATACTTTTTCACTCTTCCTCTAAATTAAACAATTTTAATAGATAAATACCAATCTAGACAGTGGTTAATCATTTAAACCTACTCATACATTTTGATGTTATGAAAATACTCTTGCTTTTAACCGTAGGGAAAAAAAGCTTGTTAGCAAGGGAGAATGCAAATGGACTAGTTTTATGCTATGAATATTACTGATTATCTGCTGAAAGTCCTTTGTTTCTAGTAAATCAAGCTTTTTGCCTCCAGGTCCGTCCCTATCATTAAGAAATTAAAATATTAAATTTTTCTGCTAAAAGCATACATGATGTATATTTTCAGGGGGTTTGTTGTTGTTTTGAAATGTAAATGTCAACTTTGATAGCTATTGAAGATTAAATTGAAGAAATCTGGACATTTTCCTATCTTTAAATGTGGTGCTGAAGTAAGGGAGTTTTAAGTAATTCCTTACCTGCTGTAGAATGGATTGTGGTTCTAGGCTTCTATTGTCCAACTGAATTAAAACTGTCCAATGTAATAAGCTGTAGTATATTATAGAATTGGTTTTTTCCTTCCAGAGACTTTATCCATACCGTATTAGAAAAATCGACTTCAGTTCTGTCTAAATATTGGTTTGTTTAATTTCATCTTACTGCCCCTAGTTATT